GGCCGGCCTCGCGGCGCGGGAGCCCGCGGGTGCGTTTCGAGGACGGGGCCGTGTTCCTGGCCGCGTGCTCCAGCGGGGACACGGACGAGGTGAGGAGGCTCCTGGCGCGGGGCGCGGACGTGAATACGGTCAACGTGGACGGCCTGACTGCCCTGCACCAGGTAACCCGGTCCCGCGGTCCGGCCGCCGGGGAGGGTCCCTCGGGCCGCGGTGTCACTCCGGCCGGCTACCCCCGGGTCAGCGCTTTCCCAACCTCATGGTCCCCACCGAGGGACGTATCACCCGCTGCCCGGGCAGGGTTTGTATTTCCCTCCGCCTGCTTGGGTTTCCATGGTTACCGGTGGTTGGGTCCCCGGTGTCCCCTGCACGTAAGTCATCCTCACTTCTGCCAGTCGGTGTGCCTGACACCGTGTCACTCGTAGGTACGGTCAGTGTCGTCTGTCGTCTGTCCGGTGGCCTTTCTGAAAGTTCAGTGTTCTGCTTGTGCGGCCCTATTATAGAGTATCTTAGATCCCTGAAAGAGTAAACCCCTGTGTGAAGTCAAGGCAAGCAGATCTGAAACGGCACCTCTTGTTTTGCAGATTTGTCGTGATTCAGAAACAGTTTGTGTCTCCTGCAGGCTGTAGCTCCTGGGACACCCCCTTATTTTCTTCCTCGCAGTGTTCCTTAGAGCTTCCTATGGAGAACCAGCCATCCGAATCACTTGCGTTTGATATTACGGAATACCCTTCTGTAGAAATCGCATGCCCTATATACAGCTATAGTGTGTGGATTGTGGATAACTTGACAGTTTTCTGCTTGGTAATAACACCTTTACTTCTCTCATCTTATACAACAATATTCTATATATACTGACTGTCATAGCTGGCTCCACCCTTCCTCCCCAAATGGAACTTTGTCACTTATTTTCGTGAGATGAGAGCCAGGCACCCCCTCTTAATCTTCCCTCTTTTTCTTCTACTCTCCATGCAGTAAATGTGTTGGCATGAGAATCTACTTCTAAATAATAATTCAGTTTTGTGTCATACCACTTCCCTGAATGTATTAGCCAACATTCATATAGTCTGTTGCTGTTTAAAAATTATTTTATATGCATCTCAGCAGTGATCTTTTGAAGTAGGTGTGGCAGGTAGTGTTATTCTCATTTAACAGATGAGTAATCTGAAGCTCAGAAAATTGTTACTTTTACAAGATTAGAAAGGAGAGAAGTTGCCCCTAGGCATGAATTTTTCGGATTTAAATTCCAGAGCTTTATATCCTACCTGATAAGGAGCTAAATATAAATAAGATAGATGCTAGGAGGGCTACATTCATTATTCTAAATTTCTGAACTCTGACAAGGTGAATTTTTATTTATTTTTGTGTGTGTGTGAGGAAGATCAGTCCTGTGCTAACATCTGCCAGTCCTCTTTTTTTGCTGAGGAAGACTGGCCCTGGGCTAACATCCGTACCCATCTTCCTCCACTTTGTATGGGATGCCGCCACAGCATGGCTTGCCAAGCGGTGCGTCGGTGCGCGCCTGGGATCTGAACTGGCGAACCCCGGGCCGCCGCAGCAGAGCGCGCGTACTTAACTGCTTGAGCCACCAGTCCTGCCTCATGAACTTTTATTTTTTAAATGTATTTGGGATGTTAAGGAGTTTGAGATCTGTATTCTGGAAGAAACCATTTCATGGGTTCATAAAGGATAGAGAACTAGAACCCAGCTTTCTAGTTCATGTGTACCTTTATTGAATCACTCACTGTTCTATCAAAGCACAGAGTTTTTAGTGTAACTCAGTAGCCCTGTTTTTTTTTTAAGGTGACTCTGCTAGCCGTACACATTTTAATAACACCCTGAGAAAAGCACCTACTTTGAGGTCACTCTTGGTAGAGCTCCTTCCCATACCAGGTAACCACTTTTCTGATCCCTTCTCCTGAGACTGACCTCCTTGGTGCCTTTCCTTCTCTCTTAACTACCACCCCCGATTGTGAAGTGCAACTTCTCTCAGTTAATATGATCTTCACATTCAGTAATCTCTTGAAATAGGAGGAAGGAGATGTCAGCTCTGGACTTTTTTTTTTAACACCTGCAAATGCAATGTAGGCATTTCTCCCTGTTTACAGGGCTGGCAGTGAGTTGAACTGAATAGGTATACTCAGTACTAGACAAAGCTAAAGATTAAGCTGCTGGAAGATTTCGGGTCAAACAACCTTCTGTTGAGAAACCATCTCTTTGTTTGAATCAAGACAAGGGGCCTTTATTGGCTCGGGAACTCTTTTACAAGTCAGTTTCTGCAGAGTTACAATATGTTTCTCCATAGTCTGAAGAACTCTTAAGGTACATAAAAGATTATTTTCAAAACATGAGACTGGAGCTGCCAGTAGCTGAAGAACATACTTTATGACTGATTGTCCTTTTGTGAAATGGAGAGTCGTACAGTTATCTGAATTATTTAGTTAAAATAGCCATCTGTTATATAAGCATAATATGAATTATCAGGATAATTGCTTCCTTTCTCTTGTTTTGGCCACGGCCCCTTGACCAACTGTGGGTTATCATTTTGGCATGTTGGAAGAAACCCCCAGATGATATTGGGGGACGATTTTTCTCCTCCTCCCACAAGGTCACAGTAGATGATTTGCACTTCAGGTTGTGGTGCCTTGATGCTACTTTTGACTTAGGGACCTTTCTTTCTTGGCAGCCTTTGCTTAGGCCACGAGGTGCTTGAGTCAAAGATAACAAGCTCCAGGGGGCCTGTTAATAATACTTGAAATAGACTGGGATAGGAAGTATCTCAAAGGTTAGACCTACTCTGATGAAAGCCTGGGAAACTGATGCAGACTGACTAAATGTGGGCAAGTAAATTAAAATTTGGCGTGTGTGCCCTGAGTGTCCTAGAGTCTTCAGTGACAAAGTGTTAATCCAAAAGCACTTGTTTGCTCATAGAAGAATTCCCGTCTTATTTATGTATATACGTTATAGGGTATAAAGCGTGAGTTAATAATTCAGTGTGGGCTGGTACTTCTTAAAATTTCTTTTATTTTTATTCATTTATTTATTTATTTTGCAAGGTTGATTATTAGCACCTATCTTGGTATCCTTAGCATTATGAGCTTGGGTGCTGTAGGTGTAGATGTTGTCGTTGTTAGTGTCATGGAGTCGATTCCAACTCCTAGTGATCCATTCTGTGTACAGCAGAGGGGAACCCTGCCCCGTCTTTTTGCACCATCCTCTCACCTTCTGGTGCCATATCAGGCAGTGCTCCTCTGCTGTTTATAGAGTTTTCATGGCCAGTCTTTTTGGGAGTGGGTAGCCAGGTCCTTCTTCCTAGTCTCTCTTAGTCTGGAAGTTCTGCTGAAACCTGTGCACCATGGGTGACTCTCTTGGTATTTGAAATCCCAGTGGCATAGCTTTCCACATCACAGCGACACACAGCCACCACAGTATGACAGCTGACAGATAGGGGGTTGGTTCCCTGATGGGGAAATGAACCCAGGCTGCAGCAGTGAGAGGGCTGGATCTTAACTCCTGGATCACTAGGGCTGTCTAGGTCTAGATACATGCTCTCAAAATTGTATCTACCAAATTACTGGTCTGCTGTAAGAGGCAAGAGCTTCCTTTGGGAAAGAAGATTTTCTGGAATTTGTTAAAATGCCTGCTTATTCCTTCAGAATGTAGTGTATTGGCACTTACATCTGTGCTGTGTGTGGTGGAGGATGCTGATGTCAGTCCACGTAGGTCTTGTCTCTAGACCAGTCTGCACAGTCTTCATTTGGAGGGAGGCCTCGGAGACTAGAATGATTCTGTACTTGATGCAGAAATTCAGATTCCTTTTCTAATGGTTTCAGAGTCCAAGTGTGGACCCTCAGGGTCACCCCAGACTGGAATTCTACTCCTAGTAGCCTCTGTCATTCTAGAGCTGCCTCAATCTGACCTGTAGCCTCAGGGAGATTAAAATTATCTGTTTCTGTGGAAGTCAGGTAGAGATAGGGACAGATGAGGGAAAGAGGAAGGGCAGAGCAATTTATATTCAGAGTGAGACAGAAGAAGACTAAGGTGATAATGTGTTCAATACAAAACAGTATGTATGTGTGCCAACCTGTATGGTGAAATAAAACTTGCCTTCTTTACCCTTTCTCTTTTATTCCAAGTTCATTGCTTATTCCTCCTACAGTTCCATCTGTGAAGTGACTTTCGCCTTACCCTGTAAATTGATGAATCCTGCTTAGTGTCAGGACCCACAGCAATATGGGATTAAGAAAATCCTGTTGGCTTCTTCATTATTGTGGATCTAGAACAGTCATCCTGAGTCACTTAGTAGTTTACCTCTTCAGATTGGTTAATATGATACATCAGGCTATGTTGGGCACCTGGCCCCTTGCCTTCTGAGTATTAGTCCCAAGTTTCCATGCCATAATGGAACCTCGTAATGGCCTTCAAAGTCAAATTTGGAAATTAGGCTTATTTTTATGGTGGGTGTTTTTTTTCCCCCCCCCTTTGGAGAGTTCAGATGTAAGTGACTTTTATTTGTTTCCTTGCCAAATTTTTATTTCCCATTGTTTTTTTTTTTGTGTGTGTGAGGTGATCAGCCCTGTGCTAACATCTGTGAATCCTCCTCTTTTTTTGCTGAGGAAGACTGGCCCTGGGCTAACATCCGTGCCCATCTTCCTCCACTTTTTATGGGACACTGCCACAGCGTGGCCTGCCAAGCAGTGCGTTGGTGCATGCCCGGGATCCGAACTGGCGAACCCCGGGCCGCCGCAGTGGAGCGCACGCACTTAACCACTTGCGCCACTGGGCCGACCCCCCCATTCTTTTTTCTTTTGCTGGGAAAGATTCACCCTGAGCTAACATCTGTTGCCAATCTTCCTCTCTCTCTTTTTTTTTTTTTTTTAACTCCCAAAGCCCCAGTACATAGTTGTATATTCTAGTTGTAGGTCCTTCTGGTTCTTTGATGTGAGCCACCACCACAGCATGGCTACTGACAGACGAGTGGTGTGGTTCTGTGCCCAGGAACCGAACCCTGGGCCGCCAAAGCAGAGTGCGCCAAACTTTAACCACTAGGCCATCATGGCTGGCTCTATCTTTTTTTCTTTAAGCCATTTTAATAATTATGTAGTCGTGAGTTGCTTTTTTAATGACAGTAATAATATTAGTGATGTATAATAGTAGTCATAGT